GGGCAGCGGGGGCCCGCATGCGGAAAACAGGCTGAGCAGTCAGAGTCAGAGGCCAGAGTGGCCAGCAGAGAAAACCAAGCAAGAAGAAATGACTTCTGCCACCCAGAAGGCCCACAGCACCCTCCGTTGCACTCAGATACCAGAGGTTACTCGACCTAGTGCTCCCCATGAATGAGAGGGTGGAGCTGGACTTCAGAGGCTGCAAACCCGCAGGTTTAGTAAACATAGCCCAGCATCGCATCCCTCCATGGCCTAAACTGGAGCTGCCAACAGGGGTAAGGCAGGAGAGAGAAAACGAAGCATTTTGATACCTGGCTAGAGCTCGCCTGCACCATGGTGGGTACTGTGGTACCCGGGGCTGGAGAAGGCACACCCCTCCTCACTTGGGGAGGGGCCCCTTTGTAATCATCCCTGGGGGCTGCCTCCAGCTATGACCAGCCTAACAAAATGACATGGAACGAAAGAAAAGCGAGAGGGAGACAAGCCCTTACACAGACAAGAACCTCCTAGAGGGGAGCTGGGCAGTGTCTGACCCTGTTAGGATGGCATCAGAGCCCCTGAGTCTGAAGGGAACAACTGGGAAGGAGGCAGTGGGGGCGGGACAGGAGGAACGGTCTTCTGGAACAGTACCAGCAGGGTGGGGAGGTGCTGGTGAGGGGACGGGCAGGTCTGGAACTCACTGGCCCCGGTGTCCCCTTCCCTTCTGACCCAGGCCTGGTGAGTGCCAGCTGCCCCAGCCGGCCCTAGTGGCGGCTGGAGACCAGACCTTTCACTTTGGACATCTTCTTGGTGGGCTGCCTCTGCTCAGCATGAGGGGGGCACTCCCGTTCAGTCAGCTGCTGTTCCATCTCCTGGGCTGACGAGGACGCAGTAGCTTTGAGTGTCTTCTTGATGTTGGTGACCTGGAGGGAGATACAGAATTGGCTGCTCAGACTACAAGCCCCAGAAACTTGCCAAAACTTGCTCTCACTATAACCAAGGCCACAGGGAGAAGCAGCCAACATCCTCTGCAAGATAGCCTAAAATAGTCTTGAGAGACCCGATGAGAAACACAGCAGGGCTACTCCCAGGTGAGAGGCAGAAAAGGGGTGAGCAGAAACGTGGGACCGATGCTTTCTTGGCTGAAACAAGTGGACCATTTGGCAAAGAGGCACAACACGGAAAGTCTAAGAAAGTAATAGTCGTGTACAAGAGGAAACACTCGGCCACTAAATCCAGGATCAAAAGAAAAAGGAGATGGTTCTGGCGACTGTCACAACCCAGTTGGTGGAGACAAGAACGTGGCACCCAGGAGGTTAAACTGCACAAAATGCCCAGGTGTTACCCTGCTGAAGATGTGCCTCGAAAGCTGTTGAGCCATGGTAAAAAAAAAAACCTTTCAGCCAGCATGTGGGAGAGCTAGGAGCTAGCATCACTCCTGGGACCATTCTGATCATCCTCACTGGACACCACAGAAGCAAGACAGTGGTTTCCCTGAAGCACTGGACCACTGGTCCTCAATCGAGTTCCACTGCATAGAACACACCAGAAACTTATCATTGCCACCTCCACAAAAACTGACATTAGCGGGAGCAGTAGTTAGCGTAATGGCTATGACCGCTGGACTCCCACGTAGTCGACCGTGGTTCGAGTCTTGGACCCGGTGGCTTAAACTCACACCGGGCGCGTGTGCGTGCGTGCCCAAGATCCTGAAAAGAGAATGGAGGAGAAAGGATTGCGGCGTGGCCATCCCCCCTGAGGGGTGATTTCTCGCTTTCTGTCTCTCTGTCTGTCTCTGTCTGTCTGGCGAGCGCACACGCCCTATAGCAAAAAAATTAAAAAATTAAAAAAATTAAAAACCTCTCAAAAAAAATTGACATTAGCAAAGTAAAAATTCCAAAGCACCTTACCGATGATTACTTCAAGAAAAAGAAACTACGGAAGCCCTGACACCAGGAAGGTGAGATCTTCGACACAGAGGAGAAATACGATATTTCAGAGTAGCACAAGGTTGACCAGAAAGCTGTGGACTCACAAATTTTACCAAAAATTGAAGCTGTTCCTCAGCTCCAGGGCTACCTGCGATCCGTGTTTGCCCTTACAAATGGAGTTTATCCTCACAAATTGGTGCTCTAAATTTTTTGCCAAGAACCTAATTAAATAGCTGATCATTAAATAAATAAATAAAATTGGGGGGCTGGCAGGTGACATGGTGGTTAAGAGCGCTGGACTCACACATGGCTGACCACTGTTCAAGTCCCGGATCAGGCAACTTGGCTTCTCATTTTCCTTCTCTCTCACTCTCGCTCTGTCCCTCTCTGGTCAAATTTAAATAAATTAAATTAAATTAAATTAAATTAAATTAAATAATTCTTAAAAGAAAAAAAAGCTGTCAAAATTTTAATTAATCCAGACATTAGAAAAATAGCAAGTTCTCACTACAAAGCTCATGCTTCCAAAAATGGTATATTTTTGAGCAAATGACTACCTTTCCCATTTATCAAAATAGCCTTATTAAAACTTAAAAACAGGAAGGGCCGGAAGGTGGCATGGTGGTTAAGATACTGGACTCCCACGTGAGTGCCATGACCTGGTGACTTGAAAATTATGCTGGGCACGTGTATATGCCCAAAATTCCAAAATGAGAATAAAAGAGAAGAGACGGCAGTGTGTAGAAAAGACTTAAAAAAATTTTTTAATTGAAAATATATAGTTCCCTTAATTTCACCTTGGCTGTTAAAAATCACTTAAACTTATTTCAAGTTATCTGTGTAATAATTTTTATTGAACCACCTGCTTATACTACAGCTTTCTATTTTGTTTTTTCACTTAAAATATTGGGTCATTGGAAAAGTCATGACCCATAAAAAAAGTATTTTTCTAAGCAAAAATGCATCATGACTTTTCCAGCAACCCCAATGGCTTTTTTTTTTTTAAGTGTTTTTATTTTTATTTATTTATTTTTTTTTAAGTGAGAAATTTTTGCTATAGGTCATGTGTGCTCACCAGAGAGACAGCAAAAGAGAAATCATCTCCCACCGGAGACAGCCACTCCGTAATCCCTTCTCCTCTATTCTCCTATCTGGATCTTGGGCACAAACACACACATGCCTGGCATTTTCTTTCTTTTTCTTTTTTAGAAATTATTTTTTAAATTTGCTTATTTATTTTGGAGAGGTTTTTGCTATAGGGCACGTGAACTCACCAGAAAGAGAGAGACAGAGAGACAGAAAGGGAGAAATCACCCCCAGGGG